ATTTTTTTATAGACTAACGTATTCAAGAATTAAAGAAAATAAAATTGAATATGTTGCATATGGTCATGAACTCGGATTTTTTCCTTCTGGCCCTGTGTGGAAATTTTCACTTTTTTTCCTATACGGAAACACGTAAAATGGCAAATTTAAATAATCCTATTACTTTCTCCTTGAAAACCACAGTTTCGATACAACATTTCCACCTTTTTCTTAAATAAGAGGGTCATATTAAAGATTTTTTATATTAAATAATACTATTTTTTATATATTTTACAACTTGATCATTTATTTTAAGTTTCTGTACATACAATATTAGCTTATATATTACATTTTAACAAAAGAGTACAAACGTTTTAATAAACCATACATACTTATTTTAACGCTAGGATTTTTTCTGTTCGTTTAATTATTTGTGAAATAGAGTAATACTCGGCAAAGTCATGTTATATTCATCTCGTAAAAATTTATAACATTTTGAACTACGTAGGTAGATGGAAAGTGCAAAATTTTTCTCGTCGTTAGACCAACTTTTTGTTTTCAAATGACTAATTTGCATTTCTATTATAAATAATGATTTTTCATTTTTAATGACGGTATTTGCTAGTRAAATTAGACGTAAATAATTCCATTTTTGTGAGGATTTACGCCAATAAGTGATTTTCTGTCGCAAAGCAATATTTCTTTTTCGGAGYCTTTTAATAACTAAACGTGATCTATTAAGAGCTTTCATTATAACTGTTTCTCTAATAATGTCAATGTTACTTTTTTTATATCCGTCCGATGAATTTTGACATTCATTATTATCACAATGAATATCAACATTCAATCGCGAACTAATAGTATTATTTACATTATTAGTGTTATTATTATGACTATTAGTATTGTTATTTGGCTGACTGTTAATTACTGACGTATTGAAATCCTTGGGTACAGCATTTTTACTTAAAATTGGTCTACATCCTGGCATGTAATCTTGTGGATTGAAGTGGCTAAAACAGATCAAACGATGATTCCACTGTACGTCATCTTCATCAACCAATTTGATGACCGGAACATTGAATCCACATTAACAATCTAATATTAAAATAAAATAATATTTATTCTTAGTAAAAGTTAGATGTTAACTTATTGTAATTTTGTTAAATCTTTACTTATGAATAAAATTCATTTGTTTTTGTATCAGAATATAGGAGAGGTGAGGCATGATTGAGCTTTTTCGAGAATAATTGAATTGATCAAAACATMTTTTTGTAGGAAATTGAATTCTCTATAAAATAGGTTTTTTATTTATATATGTATATGTATAAAATATATATGTATCAAAATTACAAATTAATAAATATCTGTGTAATGTCCGATTGTATATAAATATCGTGTCCATGTTTCGGACACTCGTGTTTCGACACGAGTCGCTTTCATAGTGTGCCACTCCGGCGTGCCCGCTAACTTCGATTACACTCGGCTTTCCTCGACATCCCAAACACACGGCCATGGATAACTTTCATTGTGTGCAATCCCAGTGGCACAGGGAGAGGGTAAGATTTACCCACGATCTGACAGCACAGCTGACGGTGCGCTCATATATATGAAACAAATGCATGCAAGTAGCGCTGTCGCGCTGCTTGGGTCTTTTCGTACTCATTTAGAGAAAGCGCGGTTGCGCTGTTTGGGATTCTTCGACAGTGTTTTTTCAAAACCCCCTGGGACTTAAACGGTTAAAGAAAAGTGGCATGAAAAATTCAGGACTATAATATGACGTTAGTTTTCTTATACTAGGTTGAGTCTCTATTCAATTATCTCTATCCAATCCATATTCCATATCTACCACCACCACCATTTCGACCGCTACCATTTCTGCCATACTTAAAACATATGGTCGTAGTCCAGCTTTGTCAAAAGATTCTATGTGTGACGGTACATTTTTTCCACTTACGCATACCTCAATGTCATCATACTTTTCAAAGTTAATCCCTTGTTGAACACCATTTCCAAATAAAAATTGCTCACCTGTATCTATATCAGGCGGTATGTAGAATTCTACCCTTGGCCTTTCTTGGCCATCCCCATCTTCATTATTAGACACACTTCTATTTCTACCTCTACTACCACCACCACTACCACCACCATTTCCTCTATTACGATTACTATCTCTGTCATCTCCTCTATCATTCTACATATTTCTGTTATTTCTACCATCTCCTCTTTTTTCTTTGTTATATCTATTATCATTGGTGTCGTTTTCATCATTATCGTAAGAATCCTCTTCGTTACTATTTCCATAACAGCTGTCTTCTTTATTATTATCATTTCTGTATCCTTCGTTAAATCCTTTTCCATATCTACCACAATCCATATTCTACATTTATTAATATTTCTTTTTATCTAAAAATATGTTTTTTTATATGATACTGATATATTTAAAATAGTTAAAAAGGAATAATAAATTTTAAAATATGAAAGGAATGATATGTTTGATTCTCTAATTTTTTTTTTAACCCTTACGCACCGGCTGGAACATATGCTGTCCCAGTCGGGAAAATTTTTCAATCAATTCAAAACTCAATTGTGAAATCACTGTTGTTGATGGTGCATTGTTATGAGGACGTTTATGCGTCTCCAAGTCCTTCAATCATAAAAGTTATTTTATCAAATAATCGCTTAGAGGAGAAATGAACTGATCTTTGTAATGGGACGCAATCAGACTGATTTTTCGCCGTATTGAAAGAGTTAAAGTAACGATATATATTCAAGATGATATCATACAATATTCTGCTAAATATACATGTGTGTGCGTATATGTTTATATATAATAAGTGGGAAAGTATTAAGCTTAGAAAAAAAAACAATTAATTGTAAATATTATTATAGTAATTTTATTTAAACAATTTAGGATATACTCATCAAATATTTAGAGTACATATTTACTTATAGTCATTTAGTTCAATTTCTATAATATGAAAGTAGGTTTGAATTGTATAGGAAATTAGCATGATATAACACGTAGATAGTAGTGTAATTTAATTTGAATGACTTTAGTAATCTAGGTTCTTTTACCCAATGCCTTTTGTGTCAATTCAGTTTTCTTTTGTTGTGCTAATTCTTTTTGTTTCTTCTCATCTTCTCTTCGTTTTGCAGCTTCTTCTCGTTGTTGTTTAATTATTGCTAATCGTGCCAGATCTGCTCTAGCTTCATCGGTTTTTCCAGCAGCATGCAATTTCTGATAGTTTGCATAGGCCCTTTGCTTTTCTAAGTGCTCTCTGAAATTAACAAATATTTATGAAATTTTTTTTTAATTATTACATTAATCTTTTTACTCTTAATCAGAATAACAAAATAATATATAAATAAGAAAAATATTCAAGTTATTTACTTTTCTTTCCGCGACAATTCAGGCTTTGCAGAATCTAATGATTGATTCAACTGAGATAACTTTTTTGCTTTTTTTTGTACTCTATTTGGATTCTCTACCTGAATTAAATTCTCAACTCCCTTCGCTTTACCCTTAAAAAAACAAACAAACAAAAATACTAATTAATAATGATATTAAATAAAATAAAATAATAAAAATAAACTTTAATTACCTCTGTTTCTGACTCGGACTCCGATTCAGTTTCAGTATCAGTTTCAGATGCGCTGACATTTTTCAATTTATTCCTACTCCCACGTGCTTTGGGTTCTTCTTCTTCTTCGCTAGATGACTCATTACCTTTATTTTTCTGAAAAATAATAAATGAAATAATTACCAATTTACTGTCAAAATATTAGGTATTTTCATTTAAATTAATAATATTATTTTACATCAATTAATATAGGATTTTCTGTGTACATTTACATATGTATAAATATACGTATATATATATCTCTTTGTACACATTGGATTATTCTTTAAGTTATATAAAAGATGGTTGCAGTGTGCGTCGTTTATACACCATTAATGTAAATAACATGTAATTTCTAGATGTCTAAATATCAAAATATTAAGTATTATATATTTAAAATTAGGTGTGTGTGTGTGTGTGTGTGTGTTAAAAATATATAAATAAAATTATTATTAGGTCGAGTCATAAGTAACTTCCGATGCGTCTATGTAGAATCTATTTTTCGTATTTACCTACTATAAGTCACCAAAACAAACGAATTTTTGATATCACTGTATAGATGAGGATTCAGTTA